TTGCTATTAAATAAAACCCTTTGGTGGAAAGAAATAGCCAAGGTTAAGTATACTTAACATTTCTTCACAGTCAGGGACCTGTCAATTATTTATAATTCTGAACTCAGAAGAAAAGAGAAAACAAGGCTTTGAAATAATGTAATTATAATTTAAATTTTTTTTTTCCATCTAGGTCCTCTTCCTCTAATCCTTAACTCTCACATTTCAATTAATCCATCATTCATCTCTGTCTTGCTCAGGGCATGATATGTTTTCTAATTTGTAAGATGCATCTGAAAATTTTGGTAAGTATTGATTTGAATCAAAGTGTCACACACCTGACTGACAAATATAAGTTTAGTGTCTACTTTAGCAACAAACAGACTATTCGAATTTAATTAGGCACACTATACATACACATGTATTTATATGCATAAACATATATGTACATAGAAATACCAATTTGAGTACTGAGAAACCCAATGACATTTCTGAGAGTCCCCATCACATGTAAAGGAAAAGTGTGACCCTGTATGCGTCAGTTCTGTCTCTGCAGTGTCTCTGCAGTTGTGGGTAAGCTACGCCCTGTTGTCAGGCCTCATTTTAGCAATTTCAGGAACTCAGGCACAGCCTGGCTGTGGCTTGCATGCTTAGACCCAGTCTCTAAGTACAAACATGGACACAGCAATGATAGGAAAATCCCGTCACAGCCTGAATTGTTCAGTCAGGATGTCCATGGCATCCCTGTCCCACCTTGGCCTTACTTCATCTGCCTGCAGGGTGCCTCTGTTTCACATCAAATCCCCTCTCTTCATTAACTGATTTTAATCAGAGTTACACTGCATTTTTTCATTATGCACCAAGCACTATCCTAGGGCCTTCCCCATCCTGCGCTCAACCCCCGTCAGCAGCTCTGTGTGGGAGTTATCATTAGCCCTGCTCTAGTAAAAGAAATTAGGGCTCAGAGGGTGAAGGGCTTTCTCTGCTCAAAGACAGCCCTCGGGTGGTCAAGTGGGATTTAACATGAGTCCAGGCCCCGTCGACTGCAGGACCTGCTTCCCCACGAATCAGATCTTTTCATCTAACCATAACCATTTCCCAATTTCAGCTGAATTTAAAGTAGAACAACAGACAGATATTGTGATGGCTTTTCTTGTGTGTTTTGGAATAGTTCAGGGGTGTCCTGGGGTTGGTTGGTTAGTCCTTAGAAAATCACCTGCTATTTATACTTGCCTCTTCTGGTAGTAATAGAGACCCTGTGAGTCTTAGATTCACCTGGAATCCCAGGGCCAAAGCCTGCAGTGGTCCCCCATCCATAGAAGCTGCTCCCTTTGTACCCTGCACCTGGGCCCATGAGCATGAACTGTTAGAGTTGTCATCTGTTCATGTACCTGTCACTTCTGTGATGCTGGGATCTTTCCAGAATGCCCAAGGGCCTGGTTGTTCCTACCCTGTCATAGTCGACTCTGACATGTACAGCTAACTCAGGAACAAGCCATCAGTTTTCCAGAGAAACCTTCAGCAAGTTACCATTTAAAACAGTGTAACAAAGCAAAGTGCAGTCGCAGGATCTAATCGTAAACAGAGAGCTTGTGAAATTCAATAAGACATTGTTTCCCATCTAAACAATCTGTTCATAAAGCGTCTACAGAATTGAAATATGTTTCCGTAGAATGTGGCTGTTAGAGGACTGACATTCGAGAAGACAAAAGCATGATTCTGTCCCTGATTGGTAAGACAGCCCCGTGTCGCGCAGTGCCGGGTTCTGCTCTCACAGTGCCACATTCACCTGACTCTGCCCGTGGAATGGAACTGATCTCCCCAGTTGGCTGGGCACCACTCCCGGTCGGACCCCAGCTCTGCTTCTCCTCTCAGGATGGTACTGTCAGTGGCCCATCTGGGTGTCTCGTCAGTCCATGAACAGCTTTCCTCTGGTACTGGTCACTTTCCAGTGGTACTGGTCACTCTGTCACCTCTGCCGGGAGCGCCCATTCCTGGCCTTGTCTGTGAGACCAAATTCTCATCCTTCCTAGCCTCAGTGAGTACCCCCTTCCTCTACCAAGATGCCTGGCCCTCATCTTAGGCCGTCCTGAGTGGACCCACTGCTTCACCTGATGCCATCACACTCTGTACTCATTGGAGCACTTCCACCTCCTGAGATGACCCAGTGCCCCTCCAGGGCAGAAAAGGCAGCCTCCTGTGCCTAGGGCTTTGTCCCCAGGATGGGCATAGGAGAACACTGTGACAAAGATAACACCCCTTTGCATCCTAGCAAAGCCTCTGACAGTGACGTGACCCTGGGCTTTCTGAGTGCCCAGTGGCTTCCTATCATGTTTCTTACTTAATTAATTTCACCCTGACCACAAGCCTCTGAGACAAGTACCACCTGCATCCTCCTGGATAGATGAGGACCTGAAAAGCAAGTTGGTGAGGTACCTTCCAAATGAGATGGATGGGAACCTGGGAGCAGGAGCCTGTGGCCCTCACTGCTCCTGAAATCTCCTCTCCAGAGCCAGAGGCTCTTTTCAACATCCATTTAAAGCCAAGTGGGGAAAAACCCAAATTAAAGAATCTGCTACGACAAGACAGTTCAACTAAAGGAGTCTTGAAGACGTTATTAGGTTCTGCTTAAAGGCTCCCTGCTTCTTTTCCAAAATATCCTACTCTGTTTCCAAAACATATTTTTATTTTCTCTCCAGAAATACACACCTGTCATGGAGAATGTGTTTGGATGCTTATCTGCAAACATGACTGCCAACGTCCTCCTGACACGGACACACAGACGGCACCTCCCAGGAAGGGCCAGGGTCTGCTTCCCTACCTGAAGGTGGGCTGGCCTCCCCAGTGGGCCTGGGGTCTTCTGTGTTTTCTTTCCTGGTGGCAGAGCCACCAGGTAAGGAGTCTGGGTCGCCAACCAGAGACAGAAGCTCAGCCATACCAAGCAAGGGTCAGACATGAGTGGAGTCATCCTGAAAGCTCTGTCCCCGCTGACCCAGCCAACTCAAGACATCAACAAGAAGAAACCGTTGTCTCAAGTGCTAGCTTCTGGAGGGTTCTGTAATGCAGCAGTACCTTGTTGAAAATAATATAATTGGGAAATCACTTTGAAGGAGAGATTGCACATGGTGTCTCTCCCTCACCTGTGGAACCGTCAGGTGGTAAACGATGGCTGGCCTCTGTTCGCAATAGCCTGGGGCACGCAGCACAGGGGCTTGCCACCTGCATCACGGTGACTTTCCTGCCAAGCCAGACCAAATAAGAGAAGAACTTTCCCCTGAATCACATTTTGTTTTACTTTCACTGTTTCTCCGCAGCACTATCCTATGTCCTTCTCTTTCCCGGGCTGCTGCTGGGCTCTGCCGTCTTCAGGTCCTCAGCCAATGAGGGAGCAGAGCTCCTATTCCCAGAGTCTCAGGGAAGAGGTGCCATCCCTGGTGGCAGCCGGTGGATGGCGCTCCCCTGGTCAGCCGGGCTGTCTTTCTCCTGGCCTCCAGGATCTCACTGGACTTTTACCCTGACACTGAGATGAGGACCCTGCCTCCCACTGCCGGCACATGGCCACTCACTGTTCCTGTCCTGGTTCATTGACATTTATGATTTCTATAAAATGTGCTTTTCATTTATAAGCTATAAATTAAAAAGTTGATGGAGGATGGGTTTTGTCCTACATTTCAGGTGAGGAAACAAAGCTCAATGTTCTGATAACTCACCTGGGGTCACAGCCTAATTCACACAGTGTAAGGTTCAAATCGCTTACTCTCTCTGTGACACCATGGGCCTCCCTCTGTTGGAAGTCCGCGGAACGCAGGCTGAGAGCAAAGGAGGGGAATCATCAATTCCTGAATCGGCCTGAGTTTACAGTAGGCAGAGAAGAGTGAGCGGCCACTGTTCCTCATCTCAGACGCCTGGTTTATTCCAGGGAAGAGAAGGGGAGTAGAAGAGAAGCGAGGTCTTGGAAAACAGTGACTGGGCTATTCCTTAACACACTGTGAGGGTCCGACGCTGGTGGTCAGCAGTGTCTTTCTCTTTGTAGATCATGGACTTGAGTTGGCCATTGGCCATACATAGGCCCTTCCTGATGTCTTTCTGCTGTCTTGAGGAGCCGCGGCCCCCACCTCTGCAAGGTGAGCCTAAGCAGAACAGCACATCTGCACACGGAACTTGCTGGAACTCAATAGCACAGGATTTCACTCACCATATCACGTCAGTTCCTAGAGAACTCTATAAGGAAGAGCTCTGACCCCACACGTAGCTCTGCTGGATTTGATTCCTATGATATTCTTGGCTACTCTTTTAAAATTAACCAGCTTTTGTGCAGCTCTGCCTTTTCATCTGCTCACTTTCTCTCCTCCACCCCTAAGCCTTCCTCATGTGAACAAGACGTGCGAGTCCACACAGTGTTCCCAAGTTCACTAACATAGCCTCCTTGGGTCTCCACTGATTCATCTTTGCCTGTCCTTATTTCTTGTGCACTGAGTTCCGTATTTCTGACTCGACTCTTGCAGAGTGTCTGCTCAGAGCCTTGGTCACCACTTAATCTTCAAACCCCCTTTCGATGGGGCCTGAGCTGTCCTTGGCAGCCTCCCCTGCTGGCTGCAGGGCTTTGGGACCCCTGATGGTACATGAAAAGTGCCATCCTGACTGTCCACTTACCCAGTGCTGTGGACCTAGCTGACTTCCAGGCACTCTTTACCAATAGGCTTCTCCTTACCTGCATGCAGATGCCATCTCCCACCCATTTTGTCTCTGACTTAACCTTAACCCACCCTCCACAGCCAGTTTACCCTCAGGTACCAGAAATCCTTAGAAGAGTGTGTTTTCCTTCAGTCAGGTCCCCCTTGCAACAAGGTATACACAAAGCCACTTTCAACCACAAGCCTTCACTTCCAGCAGGCATCCATCCAGTGACACCTGACGGTGACTTCCTGAATGCCTCCATGCCCTGCACCCACCGTGCCCTGGAGCACTGGGGGAGATGAAGGTTTAGCACCCAGGCAAGCCCTGCGCCTCCCTCTGCTCACCTGCCTGTCCCACGATGGAAGCACTCAGTCTGTGAGGGATCCTGGAGGACACCTTCAAGGTCATTCGGATCTGGTAATACCTAAGAAGAGAGCAAATGAGAGGTGGTTGAAGGTTTGACTTCTCAGTGTGACCTCTAAACAGAAGGTCACTGGAAACCATGGAGCTTTCTGGGCAGCATGCACCATTATCCCATAGCAAAGAGAAGTGCGTTGCATCTGCAGAGCTGAAAGGCAAAGGGGTGGGTCACAGTCAGAGGCAGGAAGTTGAATTCTTTTGAAATCATACAAGACTGAACAAAGTTGGAAGTGACGGAAATAGAAAAAGAATAGACGAGTCACGTGACATAGTTACATTAAGAGGTGTGGTCTCTCTTTAGTCAGGAAAATTCATCACTACAAGAAAAAAGTCAGTATAAAAATGGTGAAAAACTCACATATAATATAAACTGAGCTTTCTTATGTTGTAACACACACACACACACACACACACACTCAGTGGCTGTCATCTCTGGAGATACTGCCAAACATGTGCCCCAGTGTATTTATCTTTGCTTGTTTTCAACTCATCACTCCCATTTCCAAATCCTGTCATCTGGGGACACTGCAGTCTCTCATGCTCTACGTAAACTCTCTCATGTGCCCTCTTTTTGTGACAAGTGCAGACGCATCTTTTTGAAGTTCTGTGCTTTGCAATTAATGACCCTTTTGCTTATAAGCACTTGGGAACATTTCTGACGTCATAATTGTGCTCCCCGACTGCTGATTCAAGCCCATTATGAAACAGACTGTGAATAAAACAAAGTGAACTCCAAGGAGAATGGACCATGAGCCATCAGCATCCGTCCCATGGCTCACTGTGCTCTTAGCAGGGAGAGTCCCCTGCCAGTGACTCAGGGGCAGCGCACACACAGGATGCTTCTGTTGGTGGGCTCATGTCTGTTTTGATGTGTATGTGACAAACGAAGAGGATATTGAGTAGAAAGCACAGCCTTGGATTTGTGACCATAGTTGGGTGTCACTTGTGAGCTGTGTGACTCTACTGTATAACTTTTCTGAGTTTGTTCCTTTATCTTTAAAATGGGATAAAAACGATACCTATCTGCCATGACTTTTGCTTCTAGAAAGATGGAGTAGACCTACTTTTCCCTATTCATGCCACTAAGCACAAGTACATACTCTAGATAACAACAGAACAAGCAACAGAAGATTCTTAGGGAATAGAGACAAACCAGGGACCTCAAAAAACAAGGAAAACTAGGGTGGTAAGTTCTCTGCATTTTCTTGCCTCCTAACCCCATACTGGGGACTGGAGAAGCCAGCGGGTCAGAGAGGCTAGGATCCACAGACAAAGCCCCACACAATTGGCCTTCCCCTGAACCCAAAGGACAGTAGGGTGGGCAGCCTGGAGGAAAGACACTCTCCAACAATAGCTGTTGTCCCCAGCTGAGCAACACAGGAGCAGGCATCCCACTTCCACCCACACCCCCCAGGCCAGGCTGCAAGGAAGCACCATCTTCACCTCCAGGCGTCCTAGAGGAGGTCTGCAGGAGGGAGCCAGACTTTCTTCCCAGACAGTATGGGGAACCCACTGAACCCACTGAGTACACGTTAAGGGAGACCGTAGAAGGAGCCCAGCCTCCACCTGCCAACTAGTAGTGACAAGGGCATAAATATGCCTGTGACTCTTTACAAACAAGGAAAATAAATTTCCCCAAAGCAACTGGACATTCGTAGGTAAAACAGCACTAACAAACCAACCTCAGATTTAATGTCACACCTTACATGAGAACTAACTCAAAAGGGATCTCAGGCTTAAATGAGAAACAGAAAATTGTAGCATTTTTAGACAAAGAGAAAAAGCTTCTAAATATTTTGTAAATACAGAGTTAAGAACAAATCTTAGACTTACCACCAAACCATGATCTATAAAAGAAAATATTGATAAATTTGATTTCACTAGCCCTTTTATTTTTCTGTGACTGATGCTGTTAAGAGGATTATAATACAAGCTGCAGTGTAGAAAAATATTTGCAAATAGTATGCAGCTGATATTCAGTATTTGTGTATTCCTTATTTGTGGATTTGTCTATTTGTTAAAATCTGTTAACCCAAATGCAATATTAGTAGCACCCTCATGGTCATTCAAAGGCTTGAGCATTGTGGCAAAAAATCCAGTCATCTAATATACAGGCCCCAAATCAGCCTGAACAACTGTGCAAACAAGGGTCCTCTTTGCAGTCTGTTTCATGGCACATTTTTTTTGTGTGTATGTTTTTGTGGATTTTACTGACAATTCTGCTATTTAAAATAGCCCCATGCATTCAGCTGAGTGTTAATTAGTGTTCCCAAGGGAAGGGCAGAGAAAATACTGTGTGTTAGATAAACTGTATTGAGGTATGAGGTAGGGTACTATCGGCAGAGATCAAGGTTAACAAATCAGCAATACATGTTAAGCAAAATGTCTTTGAGAGAAACACACATGAAGCACAGCTACGTGTTGTGTTGGTCAGTTGATGGAAACGGGACCAGAGGCTCAGGGGAACCTGCCTGCATGTGTACCCTGGGAGCAGTAGCTCAGTGTTTGCTAATTCATGGAGGCATTTTAGAACATTACGCCCTTGAACATGAGAATTGACATGACAAAGGACCATTACCTAGAAAAAACACATAACTCACAAATCTTCATGATAACAAACAAACAAAGTAAAAGTGGGCAAACACAAGAAAAAACTTTCCCAAAGGAGGACCCACAGGGGCAGATAAGCTCATGAAAAGATGTTGGAATACTCTCTCCACACCCAGCAAGGTATTCAGCACACTCCCATCAAAATTCCAGTTACAGGTTTTTTTTTTCACAGAAATAGAGAATCATAAACACAAATGAAGTCACAAATATTTTTAATAGTAAAAAAATAGTAATAGAAAGATTGACAAAGCTTCAGGCATCAGATATCCTTATTTCCAATCACATTACAAAGTTACAGTGATCAAGACAACATGGTGCTGGTATAGAACTAGACATATTCCCCTGGAAGAGAAGAAAGCCCAGCAGTAAGCCCCAGAGTACACAGACTACCAGTGTGGGACCAGGACCTCAGGAATGCACGATGGTGAAAGAAGAGTCACCGAAGAATGATGTGGGGAACGGCTGGCCACAGGCAAGGGGACAGAAATCCACTTCCCTCTAATACCACGCACAAGAAGAAATGTGAAAGGTATTAACACCTAAAGGTGAGTCTCCAACCATAAGACTCCAAGAGGAAAAAACATGGAGGAAAATCTCCTTGATATTGTCTTTGCCATGATGTTTTGGATGTGGCACAGAAAGCACAGCAACAAAACCAAAATGGAACAAGCAGATTACATCAATCCACACAGCAAATGCCCAATGGGACGAGGGGCAGCCTACAGATGGGAGGAAACATTTGCCAACCATATAGCTGAGAAGGAGGTAGGATCCAAAATACATAAGGAACTCACAGAACTCAATAGCAAGAAAAACAAAGAACCCGATTAAAAAACTTGACTAGACTTTTTTTCAAAACACCACCATGTGCCTGAAAAGGTGCTCAACACCATTGATCCTCAGGGAAAAGCACATCAGAAGCATGACGAGACATCATCTGCCACCTGTTAGGATGATTATCACCAAAGAAGCAAGAGACAGCCAGCGTTGGTGAGGATGGCAGGGAAGAGGGCCTTGTGTCTGTTGGCGGGGATGGAACCTGCTAAGCCATTAGATACAGTGACAGAGAGAACCCTCCAAGAGGTGGGAGCACAGCTGTGCGTGTGACCCCTCTGCTGGATGAACTGAAGGGGGCTAGGCAAGCTCCTCCTTGAGATCTCACAGTGAGATCTACATCTCTCCAGGTCGTCATTCTTCAAAAAGGAGATACTGCCGTTTGCAACAACACAGATGAAGCTGAAGGACAGGATGCTAAATGAAATAAGCCAGATTCAGAAATAAAAAAATACTACATCATCCGACAGATGGGGAACGTCTAAAGAAAGTGTCAAAGGCATGGAAGTAGAGAGTCCAGTGCTGGTTACTGGTGGTGAGGAGGGAGGGAAGAAACGCAGATCAAAGGATACAAATTTCCAAGCGTATAGGATGAATAAGCCTAAGATCTAGCGGGCAGCAGGAGGGCTGGAGGCGAGGACATTGTATTGTGTGGTGAAGATTTGCTAAGAGTAGCTTTTAGGTGTGCTCATCACAAGATATAAAAATTAAAAATGGGTAACGAAGGAAGCCGGTGGATCTGCGACTTGCTTGCCTGTAGGGATCCCTGCACTGCAGTGGGGGTGTTGAGGCATCATGCTGTGCACCCCGGACATGGGCCATGAAAGATTTTTTAAAAAAAAAATGTTTGACTTCATTAGACAAAGTGCAAATCAAAACCACAAGGAAGTACTACTACACATCTATCAGAATGTACGATGAAAAACAGGGACAAAACGGAAGGCTGGCAACTGCACAGAAAAACTGGATCACTCACACACGTGTGTGTGTGTGTGTGTGTGTGTAATGGTAGATGGCACAGCCACTTGGGACAATACTCGTCACACTGTGCTACCACTTTGTCAGATGCTGCCATAGAGGAGAGTGGGGAAGAGTACATAGGATGTCTTTCTATTCTTTGCTAAAACTGCCCGTGAATCTGTAAGCATCTCAAAATCCAAATTTTCATTGAAAAAAATAAAAATTAAAGCACCTGTAGAGTTCAACAGCAGAATCAGTGACTGAGCAAACTCAGATGTCCACAGGGGCCAGGAAAATAAGTGAAAGAAAATCAAAAAAGATACTCTAGATCCCACTTAATCTAGCTTTTCTTTTTTCACTGTTGATGGAAATGTGCGTACTACTTCCATGGTACAAATGTCCCCATGGAGACATGTCGCCATTTAGTCCTCATTGTGAGTTATTCAGAGGCAAGACCAGGGGACCTTTGAGAGGTGACTAGGTCATAAGTAGGTTGATGGATTAATTGGGTGAATGGGTTATCTTGAGGGTGGTTCTGACCTTGAGTCCTACATCTGCCCCTCACCATGGGATGCCCCATACTGTTTCAGAACTTTGCTG